TTTAAATAATCACGACTGGGCATGCTGGCTCAGGTTTACAATCCTAGCACTTTGGGAGGCCAAGGTGGGAGGATTGCTTGAGGACAGAAGTTTAAGACCAGCCTGAGCAATATAATGAGACCCCCATGTCTACATAAAATATTTAAAAATTAGGCAGGCATGGTGGTGCACACCTGTAGTCCCAGTTACTCGGAAGGCTGAGGCAGGAGGATCACTCGAGCCCAGGAGTTTGAGGTTGCAGTGAGCTATGATGACACCAATGCACTCTAGCCTGGGTTTCAGAATGAGATCCTGTCTCAAAAACAAAAACAAACTAAATAATCACATGCAAATTGTCTGTTGCATATTACAAAAAAAAAGAAAACTATCATTGTATGCACACATATATCATAAGACTGTTTATTCGTTCTGATATGTCTGCATTCTTCTTCAGACATCTACGATTTTAAAAATAAGTTATAGTAGTTAAACTTTAGAAGTAACAAAAATACCCAATTGATTGTTTTATTTGGTTCATTTTTATATTGGAGGATTTTGCACATGTCTTCACTGAATATGGAAATTGTTTTACTTTTAATGATGAAACTATCCAAGCAAAGAAAAAAGTGAGTGTCTCTGGAAGAGGCTTGAACTTGCTCTTCAACATCAATCAGGTATTGAATGTTTTGCAACCTACCCAGGTTCAAAACAAACAAAAATGACAAGGAATTTGATCAGAATTTTTTGCCTTGTCAAATAGTTCCTTCAAGTTGCATATTAGTTCATTGTTAATTTAGCTTACAGTCTCATGGATTCTATATAAATACTGAGCTAGAGATAAAATAGGCAAAATTTTGAATCATAACCTGGAAATTTTTAGCTAGTCTACTGACTTCCATCATTGTAACTCCAGGAAATATTCAGGCCACAAAATAAGGAAACCCAGAGATTTCTAAATTGCAATATATACAGTTATTTTAAGATAACTCTATGTATTTAAAAATAATTTCAGAAAGATTTTCATGTAAATAAGGCAATATGCTTTAGAAAGCAACTATACAAACATGTTTTACGAACCTTAGAATCTATACCTGGAAAGGTGATGAAAAAAGTAATTGCTATGTAAAGAATATCATGTAAATAGACTTTGCCAAAGCCTAGCTTTTGGAAAGTTGTTATTGGCCTAAGAAGTTCTAAGTGTTTAGGCCTAGGAGGCAGATATGCAGACACCTAAGAAATTCAGTAGTGTTATCTTCAAGGGTACCTGGTATAGCTTTCATCTTCTGTCTTGCGTAACCACTTCTAGAATTACACATTTAGAGGCATTCGGCTCCATTACTGTGGTTTTATAAATGAGGATCCTGAAATGCTGATGGATTAAATATCCAAAATCACATAATTAATGCCAAAGGAAGGAAATAAACCTGGTGTTCCTAAATCCTACAAAACTACCCCACCTCCCAATCCAAGTGAATGAGGCCATTGGTTACTTTTAAAGAATTTTTAACATACTTTTCATAGTTTCCTCCTGTATCCCCATTTAACATACATATTTTTTATGTCCAAACACAACATTGTACACTCCAATGCATGTACCTATGCATACTTGTATATAAATTTAATTAATATATTCAAGTCATTCAAATATTAGTTATATGGTCAGTTTGAATATTAAATTATAAATTTTATAAACTAGAATTTTCCAAATATTTTTAGAATGCAATTAAAATCTAAAAATTCGATGCAATGTTGCATAAGTAAATGGCACTGAGTTATTTCTCCAGGCTGGCCAGTTAAGTGTTTCTTAGAGGGTTATAACAGGCCCAGGAGAAATAGAGTTCTGAGTTACAAATAGAATATTAGACATGTTTATTAACTGCAATTACACACGCAGTTGACCCATTGACAGAGAAATCATTATAGTCTTAAGTCTATCCCTTCTCCTTATAGCCTGAAATTACAATTAGTGACAAGGTCACCAGAAGTTTAGTCTTAAATTTGTTTATCTGACACAAGATTTGTATAAAAAGAGTGCAAATCTTTACTTATATGAGAAAATGAATTTGAATTTTAAATAAGGCCAGTGATTTTAATTGCGAAGAGAAGAAGACCAAATTATTTTCTAAAACAAATGCATTAAAGAGAACAGCCAAGAAGTCAGCAACTAAAAGGTCACTAGGTGAAGACAGGGCCAGAGGAAATAAGATCATTAACAGTCATCTTACATACTAATGGCATTTATCTGAGGTTAAAAATGATCCATGGAAAACTATAAAGGCCTTGAGCTGTAATTTGGCCATGAAAGGTGTGTCTAGTTGTTTAATTTCAAAGTTCTCATATAAAAAGAGATTAAATCATAACATAAAATATTGATTTTGGATGTCAGATGTTATCACGAGATGATAAAACTGAATCCTAAACTTGTGTCGAACTGATATAGTCAATTTGCAATTTGGGGGGAAATGTACTTTTATTTCAGGAGGAATTCACTGACAGCTCAGCTCTTGGTTTTCTTGATGCTGGGATCATCTTTGTTATCCATTCGCCAAAGAAGGAGCCACAGTTTGATGGTTTAGGCTTGTCAACACCTGCGGGAATGCACGCACGGGTAACCATCCGCCAAGTGAAGGTAAATGCTTGAAAGATGTGGAATCTGGGGAATTAGGTGGGATAGTGAATGCATTAAATACATAAAAAAGACTTTTCACTGGAAACCCCTTTCTTCCATGCCTTTAGAATATCACTGAAAATTCCAAAATTTCATTTGAGATTCTTTTTATTTATATGGAGGCACAGTGAATTCACGTATACAATATAAGTGAAAGCTGGAAAGCCTATCAAATCCAAGGCGACTCTAAATGTCATTAGAAATGGAAAGAGTCACTGAGTATAAGGAGACACCTAAGTTGCTGAGCTATGCTTTTTCAGTGGGACTATCTGGAAAGGAGACAATTTAAGTAGAAATAGCTGGAATCTTAGAGTCAGGCTGGTCTGACAGGTTTCCACTTGCCAGCGACTTGCTCAGTAATTTTCTTAATTAGCTTCCTGAATTTGCATCTCCTTTCTGTATAACTAGGGCAGAGGTGATATTTCCCCTTCATAGTAATGAAGTTTATGTGAAGTACCATAAAGAAAGCACTTACCAGGCCGGGCGTGGTGGTTCATGCCTGTGATCCTAGCACTCTGGGAGGCCGA